TAACTTATAGTTGGTTTCTGCATTGTAGCTTAGGGTCAAAAGCGGGTCCTGAGTCTGCAGACGCTGAACTACTGATATGCGAAGATGGGTAGCCCTGTTAGTCTGTCCATAGCCGTAGAAAAGAGCAAGAGTCCAGTAGCACCTCAAAGACTGACAAAACTTTTGGCAGGGGATGAGTTTTCGTGAGTCACTCATTGCTCACTTCTTCAGATATCCTGACACAAATTTTTGTTAGTCTTTAAGGTGCTACTAGGAGCTGTGGTGGCTCGAGTGGTTAAGACGCTGAACTGCAGGCTGTGGAAGGTCAGTAGTTCAGCAGTTCAAGACCCGGGTTGCCGCATGACGGAGTGAGCTCCCGTCTCTAGTTCCAGCTCCTGCCAACCTAGCAGTTCGAAAGCAAGAAATTGCAAGTAGATAAATAGGGACCACTTCGGTGGGAAGGGAACAGCGTTCCGTGTGCCTTGGTGTTTAGTCATGCCGGCCACATGACCATGGAAATGTCTTTGGACAGCGCTGGCTCTTCGGCTTTGAAACGGAGATGAGCACCGCAACCCTAGAGTCGGACTCGACTGGCTTTCGAGCAAGGGAACCTTTACCTTTACCTTTAAGGTGCTAGTGGACTCTTGCTCTTTTCTACTGTGGTGAAGACACTGAAGCTGCAGACCAGAAGGTCGGTAGTTCAGCAGTTCGAGAGCCGAGTGCCGCATGACGGAGTGAGCTCCCGTCTCTGGCCCCATCTCCTGCCAGCCTAGCAGTTCGAAAGCAAGAAACTGCAAGTAGATAAATAGGTACCACTTCGGTGGGAAGGTCACAGCGTTCCGTGCGCCTTGGTGTTTAGTCATGCCGGCCACACGACCATGGAAATGTCTTTGGACAGCGCTGCCTCTTTGGCTTGGAAACAGAGGTGAGCGCCACATCCCTAGAGTCCGATTCGACTGGCTTTTGAGCAAGGGAAACCTTTACCTTTACCTTACTGATACAGTAGCATTCTAAGGTCATGCTAGAAAATAGCAGGATGAGACCTGAGCCTTGGGGAAGGTCGTGGAGATCAGAGTGGGCAATAGAGCAGCCTGGCTAATGCGCTGCTTGACATTGTGCTTGGGAACTGTGGTAGGACTAGAGATGTAAAATTTCCGGAAATTTTGAAGCTCGGAAAAAAACCCGTTTTTTGGGGGAAAAAACGGAAATTTTCAGAAAAATTGAAAAAAAATGCTACATTAGGATTTATTTTGTCTTTTCTAGATTGAAAATCATTTTGTTACTTTAGGAACATAAAATATGACTATGGACATTTTTACTTGGCATGAAATTATCACAACTAGCATATTAAAAATATAGTGCATCCAAACAATTATTACCAACAGAATACCCACCCACATGCAAAAACAAAACTGAAACCTTTTTATTTTCTTCTGACAATAGCACCTCCTAAAGGAAGAAATGCATCTTGTTCTTGCACTGGAGGGTTCAGTTTGTAACCTAGGACTTGCTTGTCCTCAGTGCACAGAAATTAGATCAATCTGATACCATATATATATGTATTTTTAGAAATGATTTGGAAAATATTTGAACACCTTGTCTTAAAATATTTTATTCATCATGTTAAAATAAAATGTTCCATAATCAAATTTCTTTTCTTTTCTTTTCTTTTTTCAATTTTTCCAATTTTTCGGAAAAAAACAAAAACGGCTTCAGGAAAAAAAAAACGGAAAAAAACTGGTTTTTCCCCGAATTTTCCGTTTTTTTTCCGGGCCTTCACATCTCTAGGTAGGACAGACAGTGATCAAAGGGTACAGACTTTTCTATAATGGTGGTCACCACAAAGTTCACCCACAGTTGTCAAGTTTTGGTGATTGATGGGTGATTGATGCTGGCCTACAGTAACCAAGGAGTTATAGAATCAGTAGAGTCGGAAGGGGCGATACAGACCCATCTAGCCCAACCCCCTGCCCAATGCAGGACCAGCCTAAAGCATCCCTGACAAATACTCGTCCAGCCTCTTCTTGAAAGCTGTCAGTACTTTCTGTGGGATATCCCACGAAGGAAAGGCAAAGTTTCAAACTGTTTATTAAACACCTCCCTGTGTTAATGTGGCTCTTCAAAATGGTTGTGGTGAAGGGTGTTCCCTGCAAATTGGTTCCTCTCAAGTAGCTCTTTGGCTCTCCTGGTGGCGGGACTGATGACGGTGTCTTTTTCTCCGTCTCTCTGTTGTGTTGCTGAAACAAATCACGGCTTCTGTGCTTGGGGATGGGGGTGGGTGTAGTGGACCGAATGCCCAGAAATGAACGGACAGTGGCACCAGAGCACAGCGAGTGGAAGCACCTACTGTTTTTAGCCAGGGCTTTTGATGGAGACTTTCCCAGGAACTGTGCCCATTGGATGGTGGACAGCCCAGAATTCCCTCTAAACTGTGCTAGGGGGTGCTGGCACACAACATTTTAGCTAGCAGCTCTCCTCCGTTAGCTTTAGCTCACAAGGAAACTGAGAAGGCATTTTCTCCTCCATTGGAAACAATGGAGGCATCTCCTTATGGGGCCCATGGAATTGGGCCCCCTGAATCTTTTTGAAATTTGGGGGCGGGGGTTTGAGGAGAGGCACCAGCAGCAGTGCTGCAAATCTGGTGCCTCTGCCTCAAAAAACAGCCCCTGCAAGCCCCATATACCCCCAGATTGATTCTCCATTATAGCCTATGGGGCCCATTGACTATAATGGTCCCCATAGGCTATAATGGAGCTGGGGGGAAATCATTTTTTCTTTTTGCATACCGCTATTATGCTTTTCAGTATGATTTGTAAGCTGCCTTGAGTCACAGGGAAAAGGGGGGGGTATAAATATTTGAATAAATAAGTAGTTTGGGCAGGTTGATTAAGCAACTTCCTTTTTGTTATTTTAGGTAGGGTTCTGACAGTGATTGTTCCACCTCAGTTATACTTGACCGGTATTTTGTCATATTTCACTAAACCCCCCCCACACACACACAAAATGCAAGAGTCCGCCCCCCCCCACCCCCCCCCCAAGTGCTTGTATGTTTTCGTAGGCTCAGCGCAGGGTGGCAGTCCGAGACCAGGTCTACCAATATAGTGGACTTGGGCAGGTAGACCTGTTCTCCAGAGACCAAGTTACCAATATAAAGGAAAGGGGTGGGTAGACCTGTTCTCCAGAGGCCAAGTCTACCAGTATAGTGGAAAGGGGTGGGTAAACCTGTTATCCAGAGGCCAGGTCTACCAGTATAGTGGAAAGGGGTGGGTAAACCTGTTCTCTGGAGGCCAGATCTACCCCCATAGACGACAACATTATCTGTAATGAAATCTGACTTGGTTTTTTTTTCTCTTATAATGTTTCGATTATTCTTAAAATATAGTTTCAATGTAGTTTAAAAGAATTCCTTCCGAGATTTTCACAAGGTTATGGTAAATAACCTTTTACAAAACTAATTTATACAATAGTCAAATGTAGACTCACAACTTTTAAGGTCACTAGCTTTTTTCACTCACGAGGTAGAATTTTTACTCACAACCGTGTGGCGCTTAGAGGGAACACGGGTGAACACAACACCATTGCATGGTGTGATGATGAGCAAAACAGTCCAGTTACATCTCTGGGTTTCTGCCATTGCACTGCTTAGGAAAATCTTCCTGTGCCTTGTTTATAGAATGGGAATAAATCAGGGCTCTTTTTGTAGAAAAAGCCCAGCAGGAACTTATTAGCATAATAGGCCACACCCAACAGCAGAAACTCATTAGCATATTGGGCCACACCCCTGCCAGCACAGCTCATTAGCACATTAGGCCGCACCCCCATGTTACCAGAAGTGTGCTCATCCAGCCACACCCACCTTTTGCTTGTTATTCTGTTTACCTTGTTTGTTGTCAAAACCCAGGGCCTTTTTTTGTAGCAGGAACTCCTTTGCATGTGAGGCCACACACCCCTAATGTAGCCAATGCTAATGAGTTCCTGCTGTTGGGTGTGGCCTATTATGCTAATGAGTTCCTGCTGGGCGTGGCCAACTTGGGAGCCAGCCGGAACTCCGTTCCTGTGCGTTCCTGCCCAAAAAGAGCCCTGGATTCCGAATAATTATGATTTAGCCTTCATGCTGGATGCTCTGGAGTTCCGGCATTTGAAAAGGCCAACATGAAGACAAAGAGGAGCAGGTTTTTTATACCCTGTTTTTCCTCTACCTTAAGGAGTCTCAAAGTGGCTTACAATCGACTTCCTTTCCTCTCCTCTCCCCACTATAGGCACCTTTTAAGGAGATGGGTGGGGCTGAGAGAGTTCTGAGAGAGCTGTGACTGGCCCAAGGCCACCCAGCTGGCTTCATGTGAGAAGGGGTGGGGAATCAAACCCGGTTCTTCAGATTAGAGTCAGCCGCTCTTAACCGCTACACCACTCTGGCTCCAAGTATGGTGTGTAAATATAGCAGAAGAGGGTGGTTTTTTTTTTTTTGAAAGATCACTTGGCAGGTCTTCTGCTGACCTCTTTCCTCTTCAGTGTGCGGTTACACAGGGGGGACTCTGGGACATGCTTTAATCTCACGCTGGGTGGTCCTTGTATCAGTGGAATGCATGCTCCGTCAGGAGCCCCAGAATCTTCAGCAGTGCACGAGGATTTTTCCAGCAGAGGATTCAGTGTGGAAAAGGTTCCCTGGGAAGTTGAGAAGTCTCAAAAAAAACCATTTAACCATCTCTACAAGATGTTTGTGAGAATGGAAGCTTTGTTGCCGCACGCTCTTTGCATTGGGGGGTGTAAGAATAAGTGTCTGTCCTCCAAATAGGTGTGGGTATCAAATTTAGAGTCCAGATCCCCTTAAGAAAGTCAGTGGGCTTTGCCACAGGCCGCAACGAAGCCCTCCTGTCCCAAGAGTTCAACTGTCCAACCCAGCCGCTTTCCCAAAAGTTCCAGTTCCCAACCGCAGCCGTCTTCCGCCCAGCGAGACAGACCCCTCTCTTCGCCACCCCGGTTGAGAGAATTTGCCTTTAAAGGAGTTGTGTTTTACAATGCAGAGAGTGGAGGATGCTTTTTATACACTGGTGCGAGAGATCCGTCAGTACAGACTGAGAAAAATCAGCAAAGAAGAAAAGACCCCCGGGTGCGTGACAATTAAAAAATGCCTTTTAATGTGACAGGGTAAGTTCTGCTTTCGTTTAAGAACAAATAGCGTCTAGCGGGCGGGGGAATCCAATCGCCACTACAAATCAAATCTTGTCTTGCAACTCGTAATAGGGTGATTCCAGTAATTTCGGGTGATTTGCATTCCCAGCATGCTCCTCTAGGGACCTAAGGCTTCGGGTCTGTTCCCAGTAGTGAAGAAAGCTGTGCCATTTTTTCAGTGTTGTCCCCCCCCCACACACACACTTGTCATGGACAAACAAGTGCCATGTAGATCTCTAAGCTGTGATATCTGGCCACGGTGATGGTGAACCGTCTGTGGAGTTTTCTTTCTTGAGCGTGCGAACGTACGGTTGGTTGGCACTCCCCTGACACCTTTAAGACCAACAAAGTTTAATTCTGGGTATGAGCTTTCATGTGTATGCACACTTCTTCAGATACATTGACACAGACTTCCTCAAGCCTTACATATTGGTGTGGGGGGGATTAGTTGCCAGGAAGCGCTAGTTAGAGTCAAGATGGATACGTAACTGAGTGATAAGTATAGCCGAGACTGAATTAAAGCAGTCGGTAAGACCTGTGAATGTGGAGCTGCGGTGGCTCAAGTGGTTAAGGCGCTGAACTGCAGGCTGTGGAAGGTCAGTAGTTCAGCAGTTCGAGACCCGAGTGTGCCGCATGACGGAGTGAGCTCCCGTCTCTCGTTCCAGCTCCTGCCAACCTAGCCGTTCGAAAGCAAGAAATTGCAAGTAGATAAATAGGTACCACTTCGGTGGGAAGGTAACAGCGTTCCGTGCGCCTTGGTGTTTAGTCATGCCGGCCACATGACCACGGAAACGTCTTCGAACAGCGCCGGCTCTTCGGCTTTGAAACGGAGATGAGCACCGCAACCCTAGAGTCGGACTCGACTGGCTTTCGAGCAAGGGAACCTTGACCTTTACCTTTTTAAGACCTGTGAATAGCAGCACGTAAGCATACAGATAATTAAAAAGTTAGCAAAATAATAAAAGCGTATAGCGTCCAGATCACGTGAAGTGATGGTATCGCTTTAGTCTGCCCTGGTTAGACCGCACCTAGAGTATTGTGTTCAGTTTTGGGCACCACAATGTAAGAAGGCTATAGACAAGCTGGAACGTGTCCAGAGGAGGGCAACGAAGAGGGTGAGGGGTCTGGAGACCAAGTCCTACGAGGAAAGGTTGAAGGAGCTGGGTATGTTCAGCCTGGAGAGGAGACGACTGAGAAGGTGATATGATCACCACCTTCAAGTACTTGAAGGGCTGCCATGTGGAGGATGGTGCAGACTTGTTTTCTGTTGTCCCAGAAGGTCAGTCCAGAACCAACGGGTTGAAATTAAATCAAAAGAGTTTTCGGCTAAACATCAGGAAGAACTTCCTGACAGTTAGAGCAGTTCCTCAGCGGAACAGGCTTCCTCGGGAGGTGGTGGGCTCTCCTTCTTTGGAGGTTTTCAGACAGAGGCTAGATGGCCAAGGGCAATGTGGATTCTGTGAATTTAGGCAGATGACAAGAAGGGAGGGTAACCTCAGTGCTTAGTTCTTGTGGCCCTTTCTTATGCGACCAAGGAGATGCTGATTGCCACTTTGGGGTCAGGAAGTAATATTTATCAAGGCCAGTTTGGCCAGGGATCCTGGACGGGGGCTGGGGTTTTTTTGGCCCTCTTCTAAGCATGGAGCAGGGGTCACTGGGTGCGTGTGTGTGTGTGGGATAGGCTTCCCAAGTCCCCCCGGGGGGCGAGGAAACCCCCGCCCCAGAGGCCCATTCCCCGCTGCCGATTCGGGCCCCCGGGGGAACTCCACCCCGACCCAGGCACGCTGGGGGTGGGGCCACGGCAATCTGAGGGAAAACTCTATGGTTTTCCCTCGTATGGCCATGGCCCCGCCCCCAGCGTGCCTGCCGTCGTCACGTCACTTCTCACCTATAAGACCAAAAAAGTTTAATTCTGGGTATAAGTGAGAACTGAGTGACTTGGCATGTGCAGATGCAGACTTCTTCAGATACATACCCAGAATTAAACTTTGTTGGTCTTAAAGGTGCCCCGGAATCAAACTTTGTTCCGTTGCTTCAGACCAACATGGCTACCCACCTGGATTTCCCCTATGTCTGTCTTGCGCTAAAATAAATATGTGTACTATGGACGGTTATTAATTTATCATTGCATCTGCTCTCCATTTTCCCTTTCGTTATACTGTGTAGTTTTCAGTGGAATTGCCCCAGAGCCATAGTTTCCGCATTTCCCGTATGGAAAGGGCCCCTTTGCAGCAACCCATCTCATACTAAGTAACTAGCGTTTGTTAATAATTAGCTTAGTTTCTGCACTTTCCCCCGTTTCTGTACTTCTGGCAGGTTGCCCTTTCAAATGATTTACATTGCTGTTCCACAGAGCATGCATATCCTTTAATTCAGGGGTGTCAAACATGCGGCCCGGGGGCCAGATCAGGCCCCCCGGAGGGCTTCCATCAGGCCCACAGTGAAACTGGCCGTCTCCTGCTTCCAGTTCTGCTGCTGCTGCTGCATCATAGCTTGCTTTGCCAGACTCTCTTAATCACTCGGCCATTTCATGTTTTAACCCGGGTCCTAGACTCAGGACTCTGAGCACGAGATTTCTGTGGTGAATGTCAATAAATCAAAAGTAGGTTTGCAGCTTACAGATGCACACCTGAACAGCATACTCAAGACGTCAACAGCGCAGACATTTTGATGCAGTAATTCAGAGCAAGAGGTGTCAGTTATCAGACACTGTTAAATAAACAAAACATTGCAAGAGTGCTAATGTTTTAAGCATGTCTTTATTTTAAGTAAAAAAAAAAAAACCTTTGTGTTTGTGTCCTTTATAAAGTTTATATCTCCGCTACCTGGCATTACATTTTATGACACACGTTGCCCGGCCCAGCAAGGTCTCATTTATGTCAGATCCGGCCCTCATAACAAACGAGTTCGCCACCCCTGCTTTAATTTCTCATCACTTCGTTATTGGCCCTCCAGTGACTTGCAGCTACAAGTGGTTGATCTCTAGTGGTTCTCGAGCACACGGGATTTTTCACTGGGTGTTACAGTCATCAGATGAGGAGCGAGCATACACAGGGCGTTGCTCTGGGCACAGAGTGGTGGCAGTTTTACAATCCAGCTGTGTTGGGATTTGGGGAAAGGTTTGTGCACCGCAGATTTCCCCATCCCGTGTTCATTTTGGTGTGTTGTGGGGTTTTTTGCTTCAAGTCAGAAGCTGAGAGCGCGCACCATTCCTACAGCAAAGGATTGTTTTATTAAACATGGCCAGAAGAGAACATTGGTGATGCCCACAGAAATTTCGGAGATGCTTATAAAACCCAGGACTCGGAACACAAATCATTAACCTTCATAGTCTGCCCCAGTGCAATAGATGACCAGGATTTGCCAGATGACAAGAATTGACCAGCCTTAAATGAATGTTCAGTAATTAGCTCTGTGATCCAGCACACATATACGTAACCTCCTTTTGGAAAAATGCATCTTGTTTGCAGGACTTCTACATGTCTGAGCCTAAAGGAATGCAGACTCGCTTGTGTCTACACGCAGACAAGAACTTGTGGCAGGCTCAAGTTGCAAGGGAAGATCTGACAATCTTTACTGCCTCCGCATCATTACCATGCTTAAGTTTGTTGAGAAGGGCTCTAGAGACCCATAGGACCTTCAGCATGGCAGCTTGCCTTTCACTGGTTAGCGTTTTAGGCTGAACGAGAGGTGAAAATCATAGTACCTATAATAGTCTTAAAATACCAGAATCATTTGCTACTAGCTGCTAGCTTTCTCTGCTTATGAACAGTGTATAGTGTGTTTTCCCCCCTTTTATCTGTCTCATTTAACTGTTCCACAAAGAGTCCTTCTGGGACTGAGAGGCAGCTACTAGCAAAGCTATGAATGACAAAGGTGGAAGTTCAACAAAGGAAGGACAGAGGTGTATTCCTCCTGCTGGCAAAGCCATTTATGTGTCTCTAAAGAGAGCTGCAGTGGCTCAAGTGGTTAAGACGCTGAACTGCAGGCTGTGGAAGGTCGGTAGTTCAGCAGTTCGAGACCCGAGTGTGCCGCATGACGGAGTGTGAGCTCCCATCTCCAGTTCCAGCTCCTGCCAACCCAGCAGTTCGAAAGCAAGAAATTGCAAGAAGATAAATAGGTACCACTTCGGTGGGAAGCTAACAGCGTTCCGTGCGCCTTGGGGTTTAGTCATGCCGGCCACATGACCACGGAAACGTCTTCGGACAGCGCTGGCTCTTCGGCTTGGAAACGGAGATGAGCACCGCAACCCTAGAGTCGGATTCGACTGGCTTTCGAGCAAGGGAACCTTTACGTTTTTAAGGAGAGAGTTCAGCAAGGATGCACACGTAAAATGCACACAGGCACTAGAAAGTGAAGCAGATTTGAAATCAAGTAAATGAAAATAAGATGGATAGCATCTTAGTCACATTAGGGAAAAACAGAGTCAGGCAATGCACGCTGGTGAACTTGATTTTTCTCTTTTACCTTGGGGAACCACAAGTTTCCTTTGGTTGCAATCCTAGGCATACTTCTTGGGAGCGAGTCTCACTGACTGATTTCCAAGTAGGATTGGGCTGTACGAGCCCATTGGTTTGGCATGGTTGCAAAGAAGGCAAATGCAGGTATTTGTGACCTTTGAAGCGTTCCTTCGAGAGGGGTCCCTTTTACCACTCAGCGAGGTAACGGGACCTTGCCGCATGCTTGATTCTGGTGATCTGTCTTTTGGGAAACTGGAAACAAACACAAAGAACAGAGCAGCTGTCAGGTTGGATCAAAACAAAGTCTTTCGCTAAGGGAAGGGAGGTGTAATTTCGGCCCAACTTCCTGTCCTTAGACCCCCAGTTTTTTTCAGGGTGTCCTGCCACCCAGGAGTAGCATTTGGGGGGAATCAGTGGACTGTAGTGGGAGGGAGGGAAGTTCTGTTCTGTTGACAGAAGTGCCCTGTTAGCGGAAAATGCAGTCCCGCGCCCAACCCACTGTATGGAATAACATCT